TAGGATTTTTAATTCGTCAGTAAATTCTTTCTTATTAATCAGAATTTGGTCCAAAATTAGTTTCCTCATTACTTCCTCTACCTTCTAAAGAATGAATTTGTCTGCAAAATCTGTCAAGGCTTTTATCCTATCTGCTTTTGATTGAGTGAGACTTCCAGGAGGTATCCGGACAGGTAAAGTCTTCCAATACTATTATTTCTTTCTACTGCCAATCTTGTGATCTGTTTTAAGAAAGCATCATTCATATCTTCCATCTGACAGGACAGCCCCACAGCAGTATTACTTCAGTTTCTTTCTCCTTTTATTCTCACCCAAATTTCCTGAATAGATTTGTGGATTCCCTGAAATGCAGTCCTACTTTGCATTTGTGCCTATCAGATATTTCTTTCAAACTACATATTGGAAGATATTCAGGCATTCATCGTAGCTGGTAAATTGTTCACTGTGGTTAATAAATAACTCCCTTTGGTTCCTTTGATAGCTAAGCTGATCAAGTAACTTCAGAAGCTTTGGGTATGAATTATTCACCACGTGAGACACCCCCTGATGAGACTCTCTACTTTGTCTAGCAGTTTCTTCTAAAATGTACAGTCAGCTCTGGATAATTTGTATTGATGAAGGCGAACAATTAGCAAGAGTTATTAGAATCTCTTTGTGTATATAAGTATATATGTATATATATATATATATATACATATACATGTGTATACACACACACACACACATACACACATATATATATACTTATACACACACACACACACACACACATACATTCCACATGTAGGAATAAAAAGTGTGTACCATTTATTGGAAAAGCAGGGAAAATTATGTAATTGCTACAACGTCTGCAGTGATTTATTTTAAATTAAAACCTCCTTTCACACTATATGATCTTATTTATACTAGTGCCTGAATTGATATTCTGAGATGTTAACTATAGACTCAGAAACACAAATTATTTGCAAAGTTAAATCAAATGAGCTATGGGGAATGTTATGTGATGTTTTTAGAGTCTAATAGTCACAAACAGCTACTTTTATTGCAATTCGGTATTATTGTCTTGTTCTCATGTAATCTCCTCTCTCCTTTTTTTAAATACATGCATTTACCATTACTAGAATATTTTAAAGTATTTGACTTTATTTTTAAAAAAATCTTGCTTCAGAAACACCTCTTCACCTTGAATTATTTTTTACTTTTTCAGAAAAAAAAATAATCTGGAGCTCATCAGAGGATTTTTTCTTTACTTTTGATGAGATAGAAGAGTTTGACATTAGAAGTGGCAAATTAGGGGGAAACAGTCAAAAATCAATTATTTGGCTCACCGCATTGCAAATATTGGTGAATAGAATTTGTAAGGCCCGGTGATTTAAGTGCCAAATTAACCTCTCTCAGTTTCCTCATCTGTAAGAATATAAGAACTGGGGGCAAGGTTAATTAGATGACCTCCATAGACCCTTCTAGTTCTAAATCTATGGTGCTCTTTCATTAAAAATTTCTTTGTAGAGTTACTTAATAGAAGAATATGAAGAGACATTTTAGAAGTACTAAAGGGCCCTTTTTGCTCTGACTCTTTAAAAGACTTTTTTTTTTTTAATAAAATGGGCATGGGAAATGCCTATAGCATTTGTCACCTAGATTTTTTGTCTGTTACTGGTTGATCAATGAAGATTAATGAAGCATGCTTTCAATTAAAAAAACTTTATTTTAAATTTTTCCTATAAAGGCAGAACAGAACCCAAAACAGCACACCATTTTGGAGAATGCTGAATAATATACCTAAAGTTCCCTGATGTCTAAAATGCAAGTTTGCTTGGATGAACTTGACAATGTTCTCTCTTCCCCTTCATCTTACAAATGGCCTACCAAGCCCTAACTCTGCGTTACCTCCATCATGTACCCCTTCTTTTGTGGAGAGAGTCACGCAATCATTCTATTTACTATGAATTTATGCCATCTTATCAGGGCCCTTACTATCAAGAAAGTCCAGAATTTAGGAATTCTTTCCTAGTTGATTCTCTAGCCTACTCCCTCCAGAGGTTGTTTCAAACCTTCCCTTCTTTCCTCAAGGCTCTCACACCCTGGCTTCCCCTCACAACAAAAGACTTTGCTTCATACTCAACTGAAAAAATAAAGGTCATTCTCCTTTAGCCTGTTCTTCTCTCCTATTACACATTTCATAATCCCTTGACATCAACCCTTATTTTCACCTTCTTTATTCCAGTCTCTAATAGAGAAGTCGTCTTTGCCCTAACCCTTCTACTCATACCCACGGTTCTGTCCCTTCCTGTCTTCTTAAGTAAGTTGCCCCCACAATTGTCTTCTCTCTGTTCTCTTCAGTTTCTCCCTATGTGCCACTTTCTTCCCTGCTGCCTACAGATGCACCCAGTTTTACCTATTCTAAAAGAACCAAACAAAACAAATAAAAGCTAAAATTCTTCACTTGGCTTTACCATCCCCCCAAGCTATATCACCCAATATTTCTTTTCCTTCTTAGAAAAAACTTGTCTCTACTTCCTCTTCTGTCGCTCATTTCTCAACGCTGCAGTCTCTTTTCATCTTCACGCAAATGAAATTGTTCTCTCCAAAATTGCCAGTGATCTCTTAATTACCAAATCCAGTGGCACTTTCTCAGTTCTCCTTGTTCTTGACCTCTCTGTAGCATTTAATAGTATCGGTTATCCTCTCTTCTTGAATACTCTCTGGGTTTTCATGAGAGTGGCTATAGAATCAGAAGACTTAGATGCAAATTTCACCCCTTACGCTTTACTACCTATTTTTTTAACCTTGGTCAAGTCACTTTGCTTGCCTTGACCTCAGTTTCTTCATCTGTAACATGAGACTCTAGATGACCTCTGAGGTCCCTTCCAGCTCTGGCTCTATGATTATATGATTCTCTGAGCTCTCTAGTCATTCCTTCTGAGACTCTTTGGATCATTATCTGTGCATTCTGCCTTAACTGTGTGTATACCCTAAGGCTCTGTTCTGTGCTCTTTCATTTTTTTTCTCTCTCAGTGAATCCTTTCTCCACTCAATTATCTCCTCAACTCCTATGGTTTTGCATACCATCTCTGTGCAGATGACTCTCAGATTTATATAGCTTTTATGGTCCTGGTCTGTCTTGTGAACTGCATACCCACATTCCCTACTGCTTTTTGAACATTTTGAATTAGATGTCCCATAGGCATCTCGAGCTCAACATGACCAAAATGTAATTATCTCCCCACCCCACCTCTCAATTTACCCTTTTTATAATTTCCTAATTTTAGAGAAGGGTACCAACAACCTTCCAGAGAGTCAGTTTTTCAATCTAGAACTCATCAGTTGTTCTTACCCTGGGGTCTATGAAACTTCATTTTGTTTTGATAACTTTCAATATAGTTGATTTGCTTTGTAATCCTATGTATTTTGTTTAACACATGCATTTAAAAAAAACCATTCTGAAAAGGGCCTCACTAAACTGCCAAAGGAGTCTGCACACAAATTAGGTTAAAAACTCCTGTCCTAGACTTTTCATTCTCCCTCATCGCTCATTTTCAATGAGTTGCCAAGCCTTGTTCTTTCTAGCTCAATATTTTCCCTCTCCCTTCTCTCAATTTGCAAAACCACTACCCTAGTTCAGCCCTTCATCTCTTCTTACCTGGACTGTTAAAATAGCTTCTTAATTGGGCTCCCAACCCCCAAGCCCCTCCTATTTCTAATCCATCATTCACACAACCTACCAGAGTGATGTTCCTAAAGCTCAGGTGTGACCGTATCACTCCTCTGCTCAAAATGTACCAAATGCATCCCTATTACCTATATGACCGACCACTGATTCCTCTGGCTTTTAAAGTCTTTGATATTCTGATATTCCAGCCTACTTTACCAGAACTCCATGCATTCAATGTTTAAGCCAAATTAGTGTATTTGCTAATAATCCTCATGCACAACATTCCATCTCCCATCTCTGTGACTTTGTCCATCTTGGAATGTGCTGTTTCCTGCTCACTTTTGCCACTTAGAATGTCTATCTCAGCTCAAATATTTATTCTTCCTAGATGAGACATGCCCTCATCCTTTTAGGAACTAGTTATCCCTTTCTTCCCTGAAATTACATTATATTTACTTTGTATATATTTATCCATTTATATGTTATCCCCCCCCCATATGATGTAAGCTTCTATATGGCAGGACTTCATTTTTTTTTGTCGTTGTTTACTCAACACCTAGAACAATGCTTGGCACTTAGTATGTTCCTAACAAATTCTTGTTGATAAAAAATATCTTCTTTACTGCATTATAAACATGGGAGAAATTTAATAAATAAAATTTGTTTAATTAAAAGAGATTCTGGGGCAGCTAGATGGCACAGTAGATAGAGCACTGGTCCTGGAGTCAGGAGACCTGAGTTCAAATATGGCCTCAGACACATGATACTCACCAGCTGTGTGACCCTAGGCAAGTCACTTAACCCCAATTGCCTAGAAAAAAATAAAATAAAAAATAAAAGATATTCTTCTTTACTCTTCTGTCATGAAATCTCTTTTCTTCTTGGAAGAGCTACTCAAAGGAGAAAGTATTTTTATCAAATGAATGGATAAATTTTGGAGAATCATAAGTATTTAGAAAGGGGAATCAGATGCAATGTGTTGGTCTGATGAAAAGATTAAAGGTTGCAAGTTCTAATCAGGCTCCCTTTAATCAAATCTAAATGCCATTGTCTTTCTGTAAAAGATGCATTCCTAAAAAGTTGTGACTACTCTGAATTTTGAAAAATCAATTTACCTTTTAAGGGTCCTACATCTAAAACTCACAGTTTAAAGGGACACTCTTTAAAGTCAATAAATTTGTAAAGTGATAATTGTCTTTATAATACAAATAATCACTCCCTTATTCAATCTTTATCAGGATTTTCACATTAAATTCTCTAAAATGTACACCAGTCTAGCAACAACCCATACTTACAAGATGTCTCAGCCATGATTCTCCCTTTTTGACAATGTTTCCTTTTACAGTATGTGCGGGTGTCCTTTGACACAAAACCTGATCTCCTTCTACACCTGATGACCAAGGAATGGCAACTTGAGCTCCCCAAACTCCTCATCTCTGTTCATGGAGGCCTCCAGAACTTTGAACTCCAGCCAAAACTCAAGCAAGTCTTTGGAAAAGGTCTCATCAAGGCAGCCATGACCACAGGAGCATGGATTTTCACAGGAGGAGTTAATACAGGTAAATGCAAGCCATGAGACTGCTCTACTCATTTTTATTTAAAGATTGTGGTTAATATTAGCTTCTCCTAAGGTCAAATCTTGTTAAAAATCATCATATCCTATCCACCATACATTTGTATGTGTATACACACACACACACACACACACACACACACACACACACACACACACACGCCCCTCCCTTCACCTTGATTCTTTTTTTCTTATTCCCTTAGAGGAAATCCAAATGTTAACTAAAACTCATCTCCAAAAAAGCAAAAGGATTATTTTAAGCGTGAATGACAGGTTGGAAAGATGAGTAATGAAAAATTCACTGCAAAACAAATTGAGTTGATTTACAAGAAGGATTATAAGGATATTTTAAATTAACACAAACTGCCACATAATTTCTAATTTTAGTAGCAATCCTTTTTTAATTTTAAGGAGCAACTTTTTTTATGAGGGTGCTTGCTTTTTATTTAGAAGGAAGCCGTCTATTGTGGTTTCCGAATAACTCAAGCTTGGATTTATGCTATTCCTCCCATTCCTCAACCCAAATTGCTTTAGTCTTTGTGAGACTAAACAGTTTTAAACAACTATTTTCAACATTTTGCTTCATTCTGATTTAATGGAGTGTTTTCCCTCCACCAAAAAACAATCAGCGTAATAAAAAAACACCGTAATTTTTTCACTTGTTAGGTATATCCTAGTTAGGGATCATAAACATGAATTTTTTTAACCTTGTTTTTATTGTAATGCAGAAAGGCAGTCAAATCACTTCCTCCTCCACCCTGCTCCACTTCACAGACACATACACAGGGTGCTAAGTGCTTACTGTGGTTCATTATTAATATATAAAAGTTAATGGAATGATTGCCTCTAAATTTTTCTGACATGTTTTCCATGGCTGAGTCAGCAGGGTTATATATTGGAGTAAATCAGTGCTGCTGCAATTATAAGTCATCTGAAGCTTCCTTGCTAGCCTTTATATAACATGTGATATTTAGAGTTTGTGGAAGATTATTTCCTACAACACTTTCTTAGATTTTTGTAAGCTAAATTTCAGTATAATTAAAAACAGCTTTCATTATTCATCATTTCAGAGGGGTTTTTTAAGAGTAAATGTTTATATAGCCCCTGTTATGTACCAGCCACCATGCTAAATGCTTTATAAATATTATCTCATTTTATCCTCACAACAACCCTGTGAGGTAAGTAGTGTTGTTATTTCCATTTTACAGTTCAGGAAATGGAGGCAGAGACTTGCCCAGGGTCAAAAGTAATTAGTGTCTGAGGTCAGATTTGAACTCAAGTCTTCCTGACTCCAGGTCTACTGCTCTATCTGCTATGCCACCTAGCTGTCCCTTAAGTAACATTGAAGTAAAACAATTTCAGAACTCTCTGGACTACCTTGAATACGTGACTCACATACCTAACACATGCTCTTTCTAAGTGAGCATTTAAATAAGAGTCTAATAGGCTGCTTATCAGAATATAACCTCTTCAAGGGCAGGAATCATCTCCTTTTCCTTTATATCACTCCTGCTAAGCACAGTGTGGGCAGCTAGGTGGTGAAAGGGATAGGGCATTGGCCTTGGAATCAGGAGGACCTGGGTTCAAATCCAACCTCAGACACTTATCAGCTATGTGATTCTGGGCAACTCACTTGACCCTGTTGGCCTCAGTTCCTCATCTGTAAAAGGAACTGAAGAAGTAAATGGTAAGCTACTCCACTATCTTTGCCCAGAAAACCCCAAATGGGGTCACAGAGTCAGACACAACTAAAACAACTCAACAACAAGAAGAAATGCAGTGTAAATAGTAGATGCTTAATAACCGTGTGTTGAATTAAATCACCAAAGTTAACCCGACAAATTCTTATTCAATTGTGTTACTGAAAAACAAACATTGAATGACTTATATTAGTTTTTCTTCATCATTTTTCTTGAAAGTAGTTATATATCTACTCCATAATTTGGTTAGGATTATCCACAAATAAAGCAGGATTATTTATACACACACATTTGTATAGTCTGGTCCTTTTACTTGTATAATATGAATCTCTTAGTTAAGGTGAATGGAAATATTTTAGTTAACAATATATTTAACATTTTTTAAGAAAATAAATCTTTCCAGCAATGTCTTTTACTAGAAACTACACCCAATTTATAAATGCCTATTAAGTTTCATGGATTTGTCAGTGAGAATGCTTCATAAAGGACAGCTGAAGGCATTTTCTGTGTGCATTAGGACTGATAGGAATTTGCTAAATGTTAATCAAAGGCAGATGCAAAAGGTAGGGTTATAGTTTGTTTTAAGTTTGTTAAAGCCTCAGTCAAGAGCTCTAGTTGAGAGACTCAGAAGACATGGGTTTGAGTTTCACAAACTTTCTATTTATTAGATGATCTCTAAGCTACTTTCCCACAATTATTGCTGTGTAACCTTGTACAAGTGGATCCACATCTCTGAGCCTCAGTTTCCTTATCTGTTAATACAAGGAACAAGTTTTGTGAACTGCATAAGAGTTAGGGCTTGAGAACTACCAAAAAAGGATGGCAGAGGACTGAGGATCTCATTTTTAGAAATAAGGTCAAGGGGAACTTTGCAGAGTATGTGTTATATTTATGTGTGATACTCCTCCACCTTGGGAGGTTTGGGCAGTTCTGCATATGAGGGAGGAGCCATAACTCCTAATTGACTGGAAGTACTTTGAGTCTTGAAGTTTCCAATAGCTTATGTGAGGGAGAGAAGAAGAAGCAGAGGTAGAGAGATGGAAGGAGAGAGAAGACATGAATTTTGGAATGCCTAATGAGAGACCCAGAACCACAGACATGTGGGAAAAGCTCATCCCATCCATATGCCCCTGGATTGCCATTACCTTGACTGGCCCATTCCCAGAGACTTCTAAGACTGAACTTCTCTGGTGAGGTTGCTCTCTTACTGTTTGGATTGAGATTTTGTCTTGTTCCTCACTCACAGAGCCTTCTTATTCTTCTATTTATTTTCTATCTTAATCTGTATAGCTTCCCTAATTTCTGTTCTTAGAGAAATATATTTGCTTTCTAGCCACAATTGGGGCAGTGGATAGAATGCTCACCCTGAAGTCAGATTCAGCTTGGTGAATTTAAATCTGGCCTCAGACACTTACTAGCTGAATGACCCTAGCTGGGCAAGTCACTAACCCTGTTGCCTCAGTCCCTCCAGTAAAATGAACTAGAGAAGGAAATGGCAAACCACTTCAGCATCTTTGCCAAGAAAACCCCAAATGGGGTCCCAAAGAGTTGGACATGACTAAAAAATGACTAAACAACAACAGCCATGATTATCATTTTTTCATAACAGGTGTTTGTCACCAAGGACAAGCTGTTGCCCTCTCCATTTGTATGACCAGGAAAAGTGATTTTTATCCTGAGCCGTTAAAAAGGCATTGGACCCCTAAAATGTAACTATCTAATGTGGAAGAGATATAGTTCTTGCCCCAAACTCCCTCCAGACATAGTAGAGTGAAGAAGTGACCACCCAATCATGATCCTTCTCCTGCTCCCCATAGCAAGAAAAAGGATAGGTAGATAGCCTAAAATTCTGTAAGGAAAATTAGCTCAAGAGAAATAAAATCTCTCAAAAAATGAACAATTCCAGTGTGGAATTAAAAGGGCTGGGACATCATCTGAAGAAATCCTTGCTCAAGCACATGTACCTCATCAACCAGCTTTGATTTTTTAAACAAAATATACAGACAATAAAAGAAAGAACAGGAAACAGAGATAAATAGAAAAACATTTCATGGTCCTCAAAGAATAATGTTAGTAGCACTTGCATACATCACGACCTAGGGCTGGCTATGAATGGTTAGGACAATTAAAAAGTATCTTTTAAGCTATGCTGAGGTTAAGAGAAAGACCAAAGAAGCAATAGAACTGTTTCTCAAAGTGTGTTATGTGAACAGAGGACTAAGAATTAATGAGACTTTGTTTCTTTTATCTCTACCAAGAAGAATGATCTTTGTGCTGAAAAGAATGGAAAAATAATGATATTTTTTCAAAAGGTGAGGATAAAATGGAATGTCCCTTTTAGGAAACATGCTTGACTAGGACTCTAGGAAAAACTATAGAACAGATCATTAATGGAAATATTTGTGGGCATTAGTGATCACTAATGACTCAGCAGGGCTTTCTCAAGAGTAAAACCTACCAGACTAATCCCACGTCCTTTTAAATAGGCTTGCTAGACCAGTCAATGAGAAGGGTATAGATTTTATCTAGATATTAACAAAGCATATGACAGAGTTTTTCATTCAGTCCTTAAGAGAACAAGAAGAAATAATACAGTAGATAGATGTGAACTGGTTGAAGGGCTGCAATGAAAAGCACTCATTAATTCAGTTGATGTTATCTTGGAGGGAGGACTGTAACAAACTATCTCAGGTATATGTCCTTGTATCTGGGCTGTGCAGTATTTTAATTGATGATTTGCATACAGGCTTAGATAGTTAGATAGTATGTTCATGAAATTTGCAACCCATCGGATGCTTGAAAGGGTAGCTAATACACTGAATGAGAGAGTTTGGATCTAGAAATATCTTACAATAAAAGAATAATGGTCTAAATCTAATGAGATTATGTTTTAAAAGGATGAATAGTCCAACTTTTTTAGTTTTCAATGTTAATTACACAAATAGGACAGAAGATAACCAATTAAATTTGTTTGAAAATGATCTGAGGTTTTTAGTTGACTATGGCTCACTGTCATGCAACGTGACTGCCCAAAAACCTAATATCATCTTAGATCTCATTAGTGAGGCATCGCGTTCAAACTCCACAGGTCCGTGGTCGTTTACATTCGCCAGACCATAGCTGGAGTATTGTGTTGAGCCCTAGGCACAGCATTTTAGAAAGTGTTAACAGGCTGAAGGATACTCAAAGGAAGGTCGACAGCATGGTACCAGATATAGAAACTGCTATATAAGCACCAGGATGAAGGAATGAGAAGTTTCCTCCAGGAGAAAAGAAGACTTGAGTG